ATGCTGACTTTAAGGTGTCTCTGGGACATACAGTCTGAAATGTCCAATAAGCAAATGGTGATACAGGACTGAACCTCAGGGGACAGACTGGGAATGGATAAGACCTGGGAGTCATCTGCATAGAGATGATAGTTAAACCCACAAGAGCTAAGTTATGAAAAAAGGAGAGAGATAAAGAAGGTCAAACACAGAACTTCTTAGGAAGCATCCACAATTAATAGATATAATTGGATTGTGAGCCAGAAAAGGAGACTGAAGCATCCAGGAGAAGACAGTAAATAGAAAATAGTAAATAGTGTCAAGTGTAGCAAATAAGATGAAAAGGATTAAGACAGAAAAAACCATCAGATTTGGCAATAGTTAACAAACATTAAGTGCCTACTATGTGCCAGGTACTCTGCTAAGTGTGGGGATGAAAATTAAAAAAAAAAAAAAAGGACAGTCCCTTCCCTCAAGGCACCTACAATCTAATAGGGGAAGACAACACACAAAAGAAAGCTGAAAGGGGGAAAAGGGCAGTCATCCAGTAGTGGCGAGGTGAAAGTCAAAAAAGTCTAAAATGAGTGCTGCCAGAGAATTCAAAGAGGTCCAAAATGAATGCAGCTGGGTGACAAATAAAATACCTGAAATATCTGTCCTGTCTCCTCTCCTTAAAGTGGAGGAATGTATGGCTCCACCCTCCCATTAGAAGGGCAGAAGGCACTAAGTGTAAGTAACAAGACTGACTGGATCTGGCAAGATGATGAGATTCCCAATGATGAGTTTACTGGGGAGCAAGGTAGAGAAGTCCAAAATGAGTACAGCTAGGTGGGAAATGAGATGTCTAAGGAAATGATTGGTAATTTTGGAAAGAAAACCACATTGCAAAGAATTATGCAGTGAGAAGAGAAGTAGAGGCAGCAAGTTTAAACACCTTTTTCAAAGAGTTTGGCAGAGGAAGGGAGAAAAGATATAAGATGACAGCTTGTGGAGATCTCTGTAGGGTGTAGTGAGGGCTTTTTTTTTTTAAAGGATAGGGAAGATTTGGGCATGTTTGAATTCAATACGGAAGGAACCAGTAGACAGGGAGAGGTTGAAGATTTGAGTGAGGAGGAGATGAATGAGAACACAACATGCTAGAGATGAGAGGGGAATGTAACAAGGGCTAAATGAGTAAATGGGTTGGACTTTGAAATAAGAGTCACCCCTTTGTCAGAGACTGGGAGAGAAGAGAGGAGAATGGGGAATGATTTCAAGGAATTTGAGATGAAGCAAATGAAGAACAGTAAGTTGATGCTAAACAGTTTCAATTTTTTCAGTAAAGAGGCAAGGTCTTCAGCTGAGAGAGAATGGGAAAGGAGGCGGTATGGAAAGCAGGCCTTCAGGAGTAAAGAAGTTTGAAATAGCTTCTGGAGGGGACATCTTGATGAGGGCAAAGAACAAGTGCAGAAGGAATAAAAGATAAACAGGTATACAATGAAAGGAAATCATGGCCAGACAGAGGAATGTCAGAGTTTCTGATAAGGGAAGTGGAACACCTGTGAATAATGATTACGATCTAGTAGGCAACTATCCCTATGGTGGAATGAAGGAGTAAGACATAGGACATTTAAGGAGGTTGAAAAAAATGGGAGGTAAGGGAGTTTGAAGGAGCATCCACCTAAATATTAAAGGCTCCTTATATAAGCGCGGGAGCTGAAGAGAAAGGAACAGAAGTGCTGAATTCTTTGAGACAGGAGGGAGAATACCTGATATACATTACAGTTACCATCATTTTTACTGAGTAGAAAATTTCGAATGTATGGACTTAAAAAAGGAAAGGCTACTGAGTAAAGGAAGCAAAGGGAAAAGTCCAAAAATGACAATGGGGAGCAAGAAGTTTTCATGTTCCTCCACCAGTATGACCTACCTGTATCCCTCTCCATGCCCTTCCAAGAAAGGCATCCCTTATAAACAACACTTTTTTTTAAATAAAGAAAAAAGAGGAAAGGGAAAAAATTCAGTAAAATTGATCAAACAAATCAAAAAACTCCCAACAAGAAGCAAAATCTCATCTAACATTGAAGATCAACTTCTCTACAACTTACAGTCTTAGAATGTTGCCTGGGAATGAAAGGCTACAAAGGCAGTATTATCAAAGGCAGAACTTGATCCCAGGTTATCTTGATTTTCTATCCACTACATGATGCTGCTGCTTCTCTATTCAATTTAACACTGCTCCAAAAACCACAAAGACTATGATGATAACTTCATTGGATTTATTTCTCTATATGAATAAAAAAAAGCTGAACTCAATTTCTAGGTTACAATATAACAGCCCTTGTGGTAAGAACAATATTCTTAGGGTCTTGCCACTTTGACTTGGCCCTATAAGACATCCCCAGATATTTTTGTTTGTTTTGTTTTTTCTTAAAAGGCATTGAAATTGTCCTCAAGACTTAATTGGCTCATATAGAGAAGTAAGGGGCTTAAGTCATTGACTAGTCCTGGTCACCCAAGTAGAAAGGGGCCAGAGGCCCTTTAAACATCTGACCTTAGACCATAACAAGAGAGATACAGGCAAGAAATCTGTATTCAACAAAAGTAATCCTTAATAAATATCCTTAATAAATATCCTTTTCCTTAATAGAGGATCCTTAATAAATATTCTTTTCAACAATTTCTTTCTTTCCCCACTATCTAAATAATCCCCAAACATCTTATTTTGTTCCAATATTGGTCAAAGGCCTGGCCTACAACAGACATTATGTGTATAAAGGGTAACTTCCAGCTGCATCTTTGAAATGAACAAAATGTGTGCACACGTTTCTAAGTATACACTGTATAACAACTTAGTGATTACAGAATAGACATATGCTGAAAACTGACTGACACTACTGCCAAGACTAACATATCAGAAAACTTTTGTCTTTGTAGATAATCATTTCTAAAAAGCTAACCAAATTTAAACTGCTTTACTTTTTTATAGCCCAACTTATCTGTAATATTCCCAAAGAACCCTGTATGTAAGCAAAAAACAACTTCTGAGCACCACACAGATGTCACAAAACCTCCAAAGGACAGGTAAACTATAGGAGACAAATGATTAAAAACAAGACAGCATATTTACAATCAACAAAACAGTGACAGCAACTCAGACTGATAACTGACATCAGAGAGCCTAAGAGACTGAAGAACTACTATCCTAAAAGCACTACATTCCAGAGCCATTTAGCATAGAGATAAGCAGCCACTATGATACTTCAACTCATAAGTGTCTGGAGTGAAAGCCTCTTTGAACAAAGTTGGCATGCAGATGGAATAAGATGAGAATTGTTTTACCGAGCACTACATGATGGCTCAGGTTATGCAACAGAAACGTGTTTTCAAGTACCAGTAGATTTAAAAACAAAAATGACAACAATTTTAAGTTTTCCCTGTCCTCCCATACCTTACCTATCCAGCCAGGATACACCAAAATTTTACTTTCCTTGTCTCCTTACCTACTGAGTAAACTTTCTGGTGAACTACAAAGGACTGGAGTAATTCAACTCCAATTCCCCACTACTGGGAGCTAGTGGGAATGTCAAAGGTAATTCTCTCTTATGCTGCAATACTATCATAGGTATATCATTTGAAGCAAATATACGACTTAAAATAAGAACTACCATCATCTAAGATTAGTGAAATCTAGCTAGCTCTGCCAAGGCCATGGCGATACTGGCACCAGGTCTCCACAAAGGCTGGTTATTATGCAGCAAATGGTCAGCCTCTACATCACTGAGCAAGAGTTTATCCTGAGAGACATGAAAGCAGCACTCCTATGGGTCTTGAGGGTAAGGAAGCCAAACCTAGCTTATGGGAAAGGAATAACATCCTATGTAATACAGCCCTCCTTTAGCTTCTCTATCATTCCTATGTAAGAAAACAAAATTTCTGACAAAGTATTATCGCTGAAACATATTCCCTTCACTGATAGCAGTACTGCAGTTTACTCTGAGTGCATCATAGTATTACATTAGAATTTAATAACTTCTCATCATGTCAACTGAATCATCAAGAAAATGCTAAATTAAATTTAAAACATAGGTATTCTCCAACATACAAACAAGCTATGTTCCAAAAGTTTGATTCTAAATTGTCTATTCATACTCTGTATACATTTTCACAGAAAAGACATTATAACTTGCAGGTAAATTCCCCAGACTAGCCAAATACCCATATTTAATCATTACTATCACAGGAATATAGGTTCACAGAGGCATGGTTTTATTACCTAGGGAAAAAATTTATATAACATAGTCTTACCCTTTTAAAAAATTCAGTTAATACTAAATAAATGAAGCAAAATCCCATATAAAGCACTATACAGAACAGAGTTTCTGAAAAACTACAAAGGACCCTAAATTATACTCTATACTGTTATATTCAGAAAAATACTATAGATTCATCTTTAAATCAAACCATGCCCAAAACATATTCAGTTACTAGCGGTCTACAGTTCCCATTCGGGGGGGGGGGGGTACAATGAAAAATGATCGTAATTCTGAATCTATCTTGTAGTCTAAACTTTTAAGCAAAAAAAAGACATCAAATAATTCAGAGGTGTTTATCAACACATTTTTATTGCACATGTTAGCTTAAAAGTTTATTTTCTACTAAAACAAAGTTGCGCCCCAAAATAAAATTTTGTTTAAAGGATTATAGTCTGGTTTTATTGGGAAAACAAAAACATTACATATTCTGTAGGTTATCACAAATATTTCCAAAAGTGAACATTTTTAATTTGTAAAATGATTAAACAGTTGGATTGAGTAACCAGAATCTGAACATATTTTTCACTTTGTTTTGACAAGACAATTAATAACTTAAACAACACAAACTTCCTGATCCAGAAACAGTTTAATAATAGATTTAGAACTTATTCCTAATTATCTCCTGAAAAACATTTTTGTAGTAGTACCTGACAATGACATAACTGGTTAGAATGCAGTGTTAACACATATCCTGCACTGACATTAGTTTACACATCTAGTACTTACTTAAGGAAGATCCATGGAGAACTGCACAGTTGGGACAGTGATACAGGTCAATATCAACAGCATGATGTTCTTCTACTCTAACACAGCTAAGATAGAAAGAAAAAATAAAATTCAGAATCGAAAATAACTTTAAAAGAAAGCTGCATCAAACACAATGTACTGAAAGGTTTAGTCTTATAAATTCAAAACTAAAATTACCAACCATTTTAGCTGTGTACACACACACACACACTCTCTCTCTCTCTCTCTCTCTCTCTCTCTTTCTCTCTCTCTCCCTCCCCCCTCCAACACCTACACTGACAAAACATGCCAAAATTATATTTCACTTGCTCAATTACCTGCTATGCAAACATGGAGAGAAACTTCAAAGGATCAGGAGTAACTCAACATGAATTCCACACTATCAAAAGCTAGCAGGAATGTCAGGAGTAATTCTTTTTTTTTTTGTAAATAGTATTTTTTTCCTAATTATAAGTTTTCAACATTCATTCTTTATAAGATTTTGAGTTCCAAATTTTTCTCCCTACCCAACACAGCAAGCAATCTGATATAGGCTATACATGTGCAATCATGTAAAACATATTTCCACATTAGTCATGTTGTGAAAGAAGAATCAGAACAAAAGGGAAAACTACAAAAAAAAAGTGAAAATAGCTTGCTCCAATCTTCATTCAGACTCTATTAGTTCTTTCTCTAGATGTGGATAGCATTTTCCATTAGGAGTCTTTTGGAATTATCTTGGATCATTGTATTGCAGAGAAGAACTAAGTTAATCATAGTTGATCATCACACAAAGTTACTGTTACTGTGTACAATGTTCTCCTGGTTCTGCTCACTTCACTCAGCATCAGTTCATGTAAGTCTTTCTGCCTGCTCATCATTTCTCATAGCACAATAGTATTCTATTACATTCATATACCACAGCCTGTTCAGCCATTCCTCAATTGATGGGCATCCCCCTCGATTTCCAATTCTTTGCCACCACACAAAGAGCTACTATAAATATTTTTGCATATGTAGATCTTCTCCCCTTTTTTATGATCTCCCTGGGATACAGACCTAGTAGCGGTATTGCTGGATCAAAGGGTATGTACAGTTTGGCTGTCACTGGGCACAGTTCCAAACTGCTCTCCAGAATGTTTGGATCAGTTCACAACTCCACCAACAATGCATCAGTATCCCAATTTTCCTTCATATTCTCCAACATTTATCATTTTCCTTTTCTGTCATATTAGCTAATCTGATAGGTATGAGGTGGTACCTCAGAGCTGTTTTAATTTGCACTGCTCCAATCAATAGTGATTTAGAACAAGTAACTCTGTCTTAAGCCACAATACCTCCAAAATCATTGTCACCGAAATCACTGTATAAATTTTAAAAAATAAGTGCCCTTTCCTGGGCTAGATCAATGAAATGTGGCTCCACCAATCACAAAAACTGTGTTCAGGTGCCATGTCCATGGTGAACCCATTAGTCTAGTATGTGAGAGATGACGAAATTCTAAAGTAAAAGGAGGGAGACAGACCCTTCATAAAGGGTTAAGCCAAGTTATCCTGGCATAGAAGAATATCATAACCCTATTCATTTTCATATCATTTAGTAAAATTATGTTCACGTAAGAGTTGGCCTAGATAACCCATTCAACTCTGAGGCTCTATAATTCTGTGTCCAAGCCCAATTTTTAACCACTGGCAACTACGCAACTTATTTCCTTGAGTACATTAATATCAATGACAGTAATCTGCCCTACTGGTTATTAGCATCAACACAGAAAACAATTTACATTTTTAATTGGGATAATTTTTAAAATGCTGAAATATATAATTACATATACTAGAAAGTTGCTTAACATTTTAAATCATCATAACAATTCAGTCAAAAAGTAAGGTGTAGTGATACTTTCTGTAGAAATAAACTTTACAGAAAAAATAAAGACTGAAGAATTTATATATCAATGATTAATACCAGATCGTTTCTTTTTTTGTCTTCATATCTCAGTATCTACTACAGTACCTGGCACATAATAGACATGAATCCATAGTCTATATATGATTATTGAGTTGAATGTCAAGTTATACAATAAGAGCTACCAAACTTCACAACCTTTGGACCCAGTGATTCCATTACTAGGGTTGTACCTTAACCACATCAAAGAGTTATTTTTTTAAAATGTTCAGAACAGTATTACTCATAAAAGACAAAAACCAGAAACAGTTAACATGTCCAATAACTAGCCAAATTTTGGTATATTAAAAAATGGAATATTATTGTACTATAAGAAATTACAAATGACAAGTCCAAAGAACACAAAGAAACATAGCAAGACATGAAATGATGCAGAGCAAAGTAGAAGCAGAATATATAAACTGCAACTAAATAAACATAAGAGCTAAATAACAGAATTTGGAAAAATACAGAAGGAAAAATGTTCAGAAGAGTACAAAGAAGCAAATAGCATGTTTTTGCTGCTTTCTGCTCATGTCAACTGATATTTAAAAGCAAATATAAAATAACTAAAGTTTATCATTTCATATATCATTTAAAAAGAATAATTTTTTCAAGAAATGGCAATAACTAAGATATTAAAGTATGCAAAAAACTACAGTAATAACTCACATTTCTGTGATATTTTAAAGTTTATGAAGTACTTTCCTCACAACAATCATGCAAATTAGGTGGGTAAAAGTATTATTTTCATTTCACTGAGAAGTTACCTAAGGCATACAGAAATTAAATGTATTTAAGGTTACACAGCTATTAAGTGTTATAACTGGAATTTCTGAACCCAAATCTCCTGACTCCACTCCAGTACTCTTTCCACTACGTCATGGTATTTATTCCAAGTAAATATTTAAGATCAAATGTAAACCTTATAGAAGATTTTTTTATTATTATTAATTTATTTTAATTTATCAACAATCACTTCCACAAGCTTTTGAGTTTTAATTTCTCTCCCTCCCTCCTCGCATCCCTTCCCAAGATGGCACACAATCTGATATAGGTTATACATATACATTCGTATTAAATATATTTTCACATTAGTGATGTTTTAAGTAAGAATTAGAACCAATAGGAAGAACCACCAGAGAGAGGAAACAAAACTCAACAGAAGAAAAAAAAAGAGCAGATAGTATGCTTCGATCTGCATTCAAACTCCACAGCTCTTTCTTTGGATGAGGGTCAGCATTTTCCATCATGAGACCTTTGGAGATGTCTTAGATCCTTGTATTGCTGAGAAGGGCTGTCTATCAACGTTAGTCATCACACAATGTGGCTATTACTTGTGTACAATGTTCTCCTGGTTCTGCTCATTCCACTCAGCATCAGTTCATGCAAGTCTCCAGGTTTTTCTGAAATCTGCCTACTCATCATTTCTTATGGAACAGTAGTATTCCATTATATTCACATGCCACAACTTGTTCAGCCATTTCCCAAATGATGGGCATCCCCTTGATTTTCAATTCTTTGCCACCACAAAAAGAGCTGCTACAAATATTTTTGTACATGTGGGTCCTTTTCCCATTTGGTATGATCTCTTTGGGATACAGTCCTTGAAGTGTCCTTATTGAGTCAAAGGGCATGCACATTTTTATAGCCCTTTGGACATAGTTCCAAATTGCTCTCCAAAATGATTGGATCATTTCACAACTCCACCAAAAATGCATTACTGTTACAATTTTCCCACATCTTCTCCAACATTTATCATTTTCCTGTTTTGTCATGCTGGCCAATCTGATAGGTGTGACGTGGTACCTAAGAATTGTTTTGATTTGTATTTCTCTAATCAATAGTGATTTGAAGCATTTTTTCATATGACTATAGATGGCTTTAATTTCTTCATCTGATAACTGCCTGTTCATATCCTTTGACCATTTAACAATAAGAGAAGAAAAAATAAGAGATATCAAAACAGGCAAAGAAGAAACAAAGCTATCACTCTTTGCAGATGACATGATGATATACTTAGAGAATCCTAGAGAATCAAGTAAAAAACTACTGTAGACAGTATAAAATATTTAGGAGTCTACCTACCAAAACAAACCCAGGAACTATTTGAACACAATTACAAATCACTTTCCATACAAATAAAGTCAGATCTAAATAACTGGAAAAACATCAGCTGCTCATGGGTAGGCTGAGCTAATATAATAAAAATGACAATTCTTACGGAATATTCTTAAGTCAATTCCTTCCTCAGCTACTACATCTTCATCATTTAAAGCCTATCAAATGTTTCTTATCTGTTTGTAATCTAAATGTATTTTTTACATAAAACTCATCTCAACCTCAGTGTCCTCCAAAGTGACCATCCATAATTTCCCATCAACAACATTCTCCCTCAAACCTCACAAAGCGCTTTATTATCTTGGTATGTCTTATCCAGGAGTGTGGTGGAGCTAGTTCAAATAACTTTTTAGTGTGGCCATTTACACCCTGAAAATCCACAAACCTTCCAAATCAGAATTTGATTTATTGTTCTACTGACTGTCTAGACTTAAGAATGTGATGGAGTAAATGTTAACAATGCAAATTAAACTTAAAGGTTTGTCCCACAAAGATTTTTTTCAAAGAGTCAGTTGTTAATCATTTGATAGCACACCACTGTTCTGCATCCCTCTTTCAGACTCTGTCTTAGCAAAACTTTGTACATCCTCTTAATCCTCTGCCACTTCATAATGCTGGTAGGCATACAACAACCATTTAAGAAAGTGAAGTAAAAAGCTTCCTTAAGAAGAATTATATTTGCTGCTCCAACATTATTGGAGTCCAAACCTTTATGGAAGAAAACCTCTGGCTCTTTGCTTCTCTATAATCTGCTGCATTTAAAAAAAAAAAAAACAAAAAACAGTCTTTTGGAAATAGTTAACACGAGATCAAGAAATAAATATATGAAAGGGAAAGCTGGGCAAACAAGATTTTTAAAAGCCCACAGAAATGATGGAAAAAAAACTAAGGATTAGTTAAATAGAGTGATAGTCTAATAGTCAAAAGTGTGGCAATAAAGGCGTAGCTCTCTTTAAAATAATTTTGTAAAACCACAATTCAGTTTAAAGTAAGATTCTTTTTGAAGATTTTGGGAGCCTTT